TTAGTTTTACTTAGTAAATCACCGTCTCTCAACCTATTTTATGCTAGGTTGTTCTTTTTTTATTACATTTCAGGTCCTAGCACGTGTGGGAAGGTCGAGGACGAGTTTGAGGATGATTGGAGGTCAACAAGCGCCAAAAGCGAAGAAAACCAGCCCTAGACCGTGAAGCCGGATAAAATGACAACAAGACTTGCATTTCCAGCCGAGATCATGGTCTAGCCTCCGATGTCACGACCGTGAACAGTGACCATGATGTCGACAATTTCGGGCTGTATAAAAGATAGCTGCGGGGAGAGAGAAAAGGGGGATAGTTTTTGGGATAAGAATGTGATTCTCTCTAGGGTTTCGATAAAAACACCAAAGGGAGTTCTAGTTAGATAGAGAGAGAGTTCTTGAGTGATCTTGGAGATTAATTGAAGGCATTGATCAAGCTTGGAAGCAAGGAATCAAGCCTGGAAGAAGAAGATCTTGGGCTCCAATTTATAATATCTCTCTTCTCTCTCTAGAAACTCAACCTCTTCTCTTGGGTTTAAGAAACCTAGGTCTATGTTTTGGTTTGTTGGTGATCTATGTGACAAAATCCATGTTTGATTGTTGATTTTACTTAATTGATGGATGTTTTAATGAATGTCATGAGTGGGTTTCCATTTTCATGTATTAAGCTTTTGACCTAGGAGGGAGAAACTCCCCTTAGAGCCCATTATCGGCGTCTTGGGGTCACTCCTATCGTATATTGTCTGGGTAATCTCGAGGGAGTTTATTCAATTCGTCTCTTACCAATATTTGAAACCCTAGGTTGAATAGAGCACCTACTCATCCATCGATTCGCCGTTCCGGGTCATTCCCGAGGGAGTTCATCTCCAAACAGTAGAGTATTTGAGTCGATCCAGATAGGATGGTCCTCAACATCGATCCAAATGTTGGTACTAGGGGGATTAAACTCAAGAGAGCTCCCAAAACTTATAAATATCTAGGTTAGTTAGTTTAATTCTCATAATCACTATCCTAGGTTGGCTAGATAACGAACCCTAAAATCGAAGTAGGGTAAGCCTAGATCCCCGTGGTACGATAAAATATTATTGCTTGCTTGCCCTATGCTACACCTGGTCATCGATTATGTTTGGCCTTTGATCGGGATGTTGTAGTTAGAGCGGGTCACCATTCCACCAATCTATAAAAGATGCACCTCCATCTAGATTCCCTTGCTTGACTCACGATCAAGGTGGCCAAGAACTCTCTCGCGAGCACGTCGTTTCTCTATCTTTTTATGTTGAATAAGGACAAGAGACCGACATCATGTAGTCTCTGACTCACTGTTGGACCACATCCTTGGTATTGGTCAAAGTCTGGCAAGTGAAGCTCTCCTTGGGCGTCCACTGGTATGTCTCTCCATATCTCCACCGGTACTCGACTTTTGTTGTTGTATTCAGGTGCTTCAAAAGTTGAAATGTCTTTACCTCCAAGCAACCATTCTTCAAAATAGCTGTAGCTTGTAGTCATCTAAACAGCATCCCAACTTCATGTTATGGTTTCTTAATTGCATAATTAATTTCGTTTCTATTTTTAATATATTGGGAATTACATTTCTCTCTCCTAAATCATATTGATTACACCAACTACTAATCCAAACATAATTTCATTTCTCATTTTAACATCTTGGGAATTACATTTCTCTCCCCTAAATCATATTGATTACAACCACTACTAGTTCAAACTTAATTTCATTTTTCTTTTTAACATCTTGGGAATTACAACTCTCTCTCCCAAATCATATTGATGAAGGAGCAGAGATTGTTGCATTTTAGGAACATTTATCATATGTGGTGGTTTTGACACTTGAATGATAAGATCCATCATCAAGTAGAATAATAATTGTTACACCCCGCTCTTTCTAAAATTCAAAATGACTATTTTATCCTTGGATTAATTCGTCAAGTTCTACCGTAATATAGATAAGGATTAAAAACGTGAACTACCAGTTCGAACAGTGTCAAATTTCGATGTAAAACGAGGAAGTTATGGATGTAGATGAGTTTTGAGGTTGAACCAAAACCCAATTATAAATTTGGGCAGAGTGGGTCTGGTTTTGGGTTCGTGGGTGGCTGGAATAAAAGAAAGAAAAGAAATGGGCTCAAGCCCTTGGTTTGTTGGGTCGCTGGGGGAAGGGAAGGAGATGGGAGAGTGGGCTTAGGCCCGAGTTAGATTATAAAGAAGAAAAAAAAAAGGAAAGTATAAGAGAGAGCTGGGCTAGTGGCCCAGGGAGAAGAAAAGAAGGAAGAAGTGGCCCAGCGGCCAGAAGGATGAGAGGAGAAAGAAGTGGCCTTAAACCCGAGAACGATTAAAAAGGAAGAAAAAGAGAGAGCCAACTGGGCTGGAGCCTGCTCAGAAAAGAAACAAAAATTAAATACCTTTCTTCTTTTCACCTGCAACTCAATGGAAGGAAGAGGAAGAACGCTGCGGAATGCCATGGGGGAGAACGGCCTGGATATTTGGGTGTAACCGAAACAATAAATCTTGGGATTTTAATATGTACTGACATGATATTGATATGGATTGATACGATTCTGATATGAACTAATATGAACTTCATATGATATTGATTTGGATTGATACAATCCTGATATGTACTGATATGAACTTTAAATGCCCAACTATTCAATTAAAACTTTACAAAGCTAGTGGAATATAGAAACGAAACATGATCATCATATCAAGTTCATGTTAGTTCATGTCACAATAATCTTTTATTGTACATATCAAGTTCATGTTAGTACATATCAGGATCGTATCAATCCAAATCAATATCATATCAAGTTCATGTTAGTTCATATCAAGATCGTATCAATCCATATCAATATCATGTCAGTACATATTAAAATCGCAAGAGTTATTGCTTCGGGTACACCCAAATTTCCCGACCGTTCTCCCCCATGGCATTCCGCAGCGTTCTTCCTCTTCCTTCCGTTGAGTTGTAGGTGAAAGGACAAAGGTATTTAATTTTTTTTTTTTCCTTTTCCTATCTGAGCAGGCTCCAGCCTACTTTGGCACTCTCTTTTTTTTCCTTTTTAATTGCTCTCGGGCTTAGACCATCTCCATCCCTACAATAGGTTAGCCATTTCATAAATGGACCCCACATCCACATCACCAACTTTAGCAACTATTCAATTCTAACCATTTCAAGCCACCTACATCCCTGCAATAGGTTAGCAATTGCAATTGTTGGGACCTACTACATATTCTTTTCCTTAACAATACATTTGCATAATAGATAATAGACTTTTGAAAATTCAATAAACACAAAATACATAGCATACACCAAATAAAAATAAAGAAAAATTACATAATGAAATACAAAAAATGCAAAACAAAATACAAAAATTCAAAATGAAAGTAAAAAAATACTACACTACTTGTCATCTTCCTCTCCTCCAAATCGATTCCAAATCTCTTCAACTATACATCTTTGTATTAAGTTTTCATGTTCAATATAATTAACATATAATTTATGATTTTAATTTATTAACAACTTATAAGCACAAGAATTGTTAAGTTTAACATTTTATGTGTACAAAGTGGATAGAAAAGAAAGAAAGAAAAAAGAAAGAATTTGAGTGCATGAATGTGTGGGTCTCAATTGCTTATGTGGCATTGCAAAGGGGATTGCTTATTTAGCAATCTTGCTAAATAAGAAAGAAGTGCTACATCCTTGCAATTGCTTAAAGCTATTGCCACATAGAATTTCACCCAATAAGCAATAGCAATAAGCAATTGGATGGAGATGCTCTTAAGCCCACTTCTTTCTCCTCTCATTCTTCTGGCCGCTGGCCCACTTCTTCCTTCCCCTTCTTTTCTTCTCCCTGATTGGGGCTTTATTTTAAGCTATGTTGACTTTTATGCCTACTATTTTTACTATGATGTTTCCGCTCAAGTTTAAGTTTTAAATACATTTTTTTTGTTTATCAAGGGTATTTTGGTAAAAGTAGTGTTTAGCAGAGCTAGGGTGTGACACTTCTTTCTCTAGGCTTGAATCCTTATCTTTAAGATCAACTCAAACCTCCAATTTAGCTCCAAGACACTCAAGCACTCTCTCTCTGACTAAAACTTCCCTTTGGTGTTTTGGGTCGAAACCCTAGAGAGAATTGATTTATCTTCCCCAAAGCCAGCTCTCATTTCTCTCTCCCCGCTGTTGTCTTTATATTTTCCCAACAGTGCCGAGTTCATGGTCTGGGGCTTCAGTCCACGGTCTTAGCAATTGTGAACTGACTTGAGTCTAGTGAGATGCGAAATAGCTCTGTAAATTGGCCACTTCACAGTTTGGGGCTAATTATCACGGTCTTAGGACCGTGATAAATGAGTTCAGACCGTGAAGTCATGCACTTCACTCCCTGGGGAGTGACTTTCACGATCTAAGGGCGTGACACTTGCCTCCAGGCCATGAATAGTGCTCAGCCGCCATATTTTGGCTCGTTTTGACCTCCGAATGTCTCGGACCTTCCCACATGTGTTAGGACCTGAAATGTTACAAAGCAAGCACAACCTAGTGTAAAATAAGTCGAGGGACGGTGATCTACTACGCAAAACGAACAAACAGTGAGTGCAATTTTATTCTTCAAAATCAAACACTAATAGTGTCTCGGATGACACTATTTTGAGGGTCATACCTTTTTCAAATACTAAGGCGACCATGTATCATAAAGCTTACAATAAACTAATTTAATATAAAAATCACAATATCGCAAACAATTCAGTGCAGTTTGTTGCATAATTTAATATCAATCATCTCATTTAAAAATAATAATAATTTATGAATAGTTATTATATTTTTTAAATGATTGACTTATTGTGAGTAAAACAAAATTTAAAAAATTATTATTATTTATTTGAATCAATCACGATCAACATTTCGTGATAGAAAAATTATAGTTATATTATTATAGAATGTTTAGAGGTTGGGATTTCAAGTTATATATTTAACCAATATATGTAAAATGAAGACTAAGTTGCTTTGGGTTAATTTGAGATATAATACACACTACCAATCACTCAAAATGATAGATTATCAATCTCTACTAAATATGAGATAGTTAACAACGAATTGTCTACCCAATTTTTGTTCTATCTTTGTCCCTCATAACTTTCCTTTATTCCAGTATTGCCTTCGTCTACAATTCATCTCTCAATCCCCAAAATCAAAATTCTAGATAATAGAAAAAGGAGAACAACTCCTCTGCTATGTTTGACGATAGTGGAGGCTTTCGATTTCGTGTCCGCTGGTGGTGGCATGGGCGATTCATTTTGCTCCTATCCCTCGCCTCTGTAGTCTGGATAATTTTCGTTAGTCAGAACAGTTCTCTCACTGTTCCTACTCAGAGTATGCGACACTGGAATCTCGCCGCCTTCGTCTGCTTGAGACCAAATCTCGCTTATACAACTCCACCTGCTGCTTATATATGACATGTTTGTATCTCCCACAACTAGAAACACTACTCCATTGCCTCTTCTCACCTCCATTCAAAAATGTCGGGTGTTGTCGTCGGGAACCGCCAAATTCGGGAAGCTACATCTGACGCACATCCAAAACTCAATTTGAGCCATTCAATCTTGTAATCGGTCGCCAATAGTAGCCTCAAGCAACAATGCCACCTTCTCCATATCGACAAAATCAAAGCTCCAAATCTGGCATGGGACTCCACCACCGCCCTATCTATGGTTTCGGGTTTTAAGCAGAGCTTCTCTTCACTCTAGGGATTCGACAAATATCAAGGAAAGAGAAACGAGATGAGTAAATGAAGGATAAATATGTCATTGATTCTAAAAATTGTGCTATTTTTTATTTATAACAAAAACACAATCTAAAACTCCAAACAATGTATTTTCCAAACCCATACATTTAATCAATATATCAAATTATAATACACAAATTGATTAAATGCATCAATTTAGAGAATCCCAACCTCTTAACCACCCCATAGAACACAATATATTGCTTGATTTTGTACGCCAACGATTCATCCGCCACCCACCCAAATTTTAAGGTTGACTAAAAAGATGATACCACCCACCAATATCCAACAAATACGTAATGAGTGAGTTATAATTAAGGGGTCGTTTGGATGAAACATTTTCAAAATGAGACAATTGTACAGAATTGTATTGTTTGATTTGTTATTTGATACAATTAGGATGAAACATTTTCTGAAAGTACACTTTTTCCCTCATTCTTTTACCCTCCGCCATCTTCCTCTCTTTTTTTTGACAAGGAAACCGAACCTCCATCTTCCTGTCTTAGTGGGGAAACTGGTGTTTTTGCAGGGAGGAAATAAGAAACATTCTGATGCAGTGCAAGGCTGACGGTGGCGCAAGACAAAGCAAGGGGAATGGCGAATCTCCATCATAGCACCACCACCAAGGCGGCAGAGAGGGGACGAAATAAAATAAAAATGAAAAAGAAAAGGTCGGTTTTTGAAAAAGGAAACAAAAAACAGTCAATTGGGAAAACCTCTCCCCCTACCCATATAATTTCTGGATTTCTATTTGAAAATACCCTTTTGCCCCTGCCCCATATAATTTTTGGATTTCTATTTGAAAATAATGATTATTTCTAGACAAAGTACATACGCATATATATAATCGGGCGGGTTTGGGTTGGATAATAAGAAAACCATGCCCGCTCATTATCCGCACTATTAGGGTTCGGGTTTTACCCATACCCACTAAAAGTCCTTCGGATTCGGGTTTTACCCTACCCGATTAAGTCGAATTCGGATGGTATCCACGGTTACAAATATTTTTGCCATCCCTACCGCCCATAAGTTCATAAAATATAATAAAATAAAATAAAATAAAAAAGAGAAAGGGGAAAGAAGGAAGCATAAAGAGAAGAAGGGCGATTGTTTGCTCCCGTCTCCCGCCGACCGCCGTCTGAACGAGAGATTGAAGAACGGGTGTTCTACCCGTCGCCGGCAATGACCCGTCCCAACCTCGTCAGAGATGGGTTTTCAACTAGTCAAATGAGTAAACCAAGAACCCGACCCGACAACTCTCTTCTTCCTCTTCTGACGGTTGTGGCGATGGCGATTCCTTCTGCTTCCTAAAGATCGACAGAAGCATACGACAACATCAGTAGAGATAGGAGGCTGGATTGGAGAGGAATTCATTAACGACGGTCGGAGAAATTCATTATTGGGCTGCCGATTTCCGTCATGGCTTCTCTTTGCAGTGGCTGGGATTTATTGATGGTGGTCGGAGGTTGGATTGGAGGAGAGGAATGAGTGAAATTTAATGGCAAGGGTAATAGTGTAATTTTGTTATGATCTAGGGGCTAAGACGATAAATTCAAATTTTTAGGGCGACGAATAATAACTCCCAATGATTTCAATTGGCTCATAATAGAGCAATCTACATTTCCCCATGTACAATTGATTCATTTCCTTTTTTTTTGTTGCCAAATGAGGCGATGTGAGTCAATTGCCTCGTTTTGAATTAATTGTGCTAAATTACTCCATGAGAAAGATCCATCCAAATGAACCCAGAGTGGTCTTGTTTCACCAAATCTAAAACCATTCTCTTGTTTTTTGTTTTCTTATGATATGAATATGATCCTTCCCATCTACTACAAACCCGCGAGTTGACCCGGACCCGGTCGAGTTAGTGGTTCAAGGTTTAACGGGTCACCCGTTTTAGCCTGATTTAGCCCGGAAATATAGAAAGAGTTATAATATTGAACTTATCCTGATAAATTATATCAAATCTCATCTAACATGAGAGTAATAACATATAACATTACACCAAAGTAACATGTTGTACTTAGATCCAACATATAGTGAAAATTCACACACTTATATAACATCAATATTCAAATGTTCAACTAAGAGGTCGTTTGGAAGTTGTGATTTCAAATGGTGAATTGAGCTAATTCATGTATTTGTGAGATTAAGTCTTTTTTTATGTTATATTGAACTAGAATACATGCATTCACTTTTTGGAGGCCCCACCACAATCACTAGAAAATATAGTTTTATCGTTCGCAAATTGGTATATTATGAGAATCCTAAAGCTGAAGGTCAGCATGATCGTCATTTACACCAATCAAATTCATTTATACCTATGCTTAGGGGTGTCTATTCGGGTTTGGTTTTTCGGGTTTACCCGAAACCAACCCGATTATATAGATTTTCGATTTTTCGGGTTCGGGTTTTGGGTTTTTCGATTTCGGGTACGGTTTTGCTTATCGATTTTTCGGGTTCCGGCTAAAAACCTCCAATGAATAGAACTCAACCGGTATTCTTAGGCGTTCGAATTTTTGGGTTTCGGTTTTGCTTTAACCGAACCCGAACCCGATAAGGAATTTTCGGATTTCGGGTAACCGAAACCCGTAAGTCCTTGACGGGTTCGGGTTCGGTTTCAGGAACCCGACCCGAACTGACACCCCTACCTATGCTGTGAACAGTAAAGTAATATCTTCCAAAGCAGTTTGCTAGCCATGCCCCAACTCCTTTGCCCGCTCATTTCATCAATTTTATATTAATAAAATATGTAAGGTTCTCAGCACAAGGTGCTAGGCAGTAAAAGTGAGAAGATTGGGGAAAAGTAAATATGGACACTCACCTGAATACAGAAGCTTAGAGATGATAAACTCTTTTTCCTTTAGTGCCGAGATGGCAACTCTATAATTTTCTCCAAGATCCAGCAGGTCCTTGGTAGTTCTTTATCAAGATCCATCTGAAAATGGAATAATTATAATGACAGGAAGCAACATTCTGGCTGAAGTAGAGGCATTCAAAGATTCACATAAGAATTTACCTTACAATCCTTTAGTTCACTTCCCATTTCAAGTGTTCGTTTTTGCTCAGAGAAATAGAGCTCATGGAGCCCTATCCACTCGTTGAAGCCAGAGGGGAACAAGCTTAACTTTTCATTGGACTTCAACTCAATCTCGAATTGATCTTCTTAGTCCTTGCCTTCAAGAGATTGATAATGGTTCAAATCAAAATTAAGCTAATCAAACTAGACACTGCAATTAAGAAAGACAGAAACAAATTGAGCAACAACAGTCAATTTTCGATAGAGGTGTACTTAAATGCAGAATATACCAGAAAAGCCTACCTCCTTTTCACTTTCTTCCTAAGGAAAACCTGTTCTTTCCCTGCCTGCTCAAAAATCTGCAGCAGTTTACCACACGGACAAAGACTATAATGTTAGGCTTTGTCAGAACCTTTTTGCTACACAAGAATGTCCGAACAACAGATCACATCATGAGCATCTTCTTTCATTTGATTGATCTCTACTCTCTGAACCAAAAACTAGGTATATCTTCTCATAAAGGTTGACATAATTCTCCAATTGTTCTATTCCTTCCAGTTTCCTGTAGCTGAAACGATGGGCTTAAGCAGTGATCACCAGCCTCTCAACGGTGAAATACAGGAAATCCAGAAGATAGGACCCTTTTTATCCCCATTTCACAAAACTCCCCCAGATAAGTTGGTGGTTCATTTCCTTCAACATCTACTCAGCTCATCCATGTTCCCTGCCTAGTAAAAGTAGACCTGATGCAGGCAAGAGTATCCTCCCATGGGGCAAATCCTTTCTCATTCATCTCCCTGACCAATCTTTTCGCCTCAGCTTGGTAGGTCTTTCTTAGTGACTTGGGCAGTTGTGGTAGTCTAGATGAATTGCAACACCCGTTTATCAGTAAATTGTAGGTGGAAGAATTGGGAAGAACCTTCCTGCGTTGCATCTCATCCAGCAACTCCCTAGCCTGTTTTATCATTCCATTCTTGGAGAACTCTGCAATAAGCATATTGTAGGTGCCCGTTCTTGGGACAAAACCGTTTGCAACCATTTCACAGTAACTTCTTATAGCTTCCTTCTTATTTCCAATCTTCGTATGGCCAATTATCAAAGTATCGTATATGGATGCATCGGGAGGTAAGCCCTTTTCCTTCATCTGGGTCACTAGTTTTTGTACGTCTTCCAGTAAACCAGCAGCTAGTAACCCACCCAAGAGGATATTGTAAGTTACTATATTTGGGGGAATTCCTTTATCTAACATCTGCTTATATGTCGCTGAAGCAGAATGGACATGACTGCCTTCACAATAACCTCGTATAAGGGCATTGTAAGTAATTGTATCTGGCAAGAAACCATCTCTAGTCATAGTTCTCAATACCCAATTTGCTTTCTTGGTCATTCCTAGCTTGCATAAGATGACAATAAGATTATTATAAACTTCTCGATTCACCTTGAGTCCCTTGCTGACAAGTTGCTGATGCATCTGAAAGATTTTGTCTGCCCTTCTGCTTTTTGCAGATGAGCATAGCAAAAACCTATGAGTATTTTGGTTAGGCTGTATTCCCATAATTCTCATATATTCCAGAATATCAGTCGCCTTATCAGTATGTCCAGCTTCAGAGAGCCCCTGTACAAAGATGTTACAAGTGATTGAATTTGGCAGGATTCCAGAACTCATCATTTCTTCCCAGATCATAAAAGCATCTTCCACTTTCCCTTGCTTGCAGTATGCATTCATCATGGTGTTGTACGTGACGCAATCTGGTGCAAGGCCTACCTTCTCCATTCCAGAATAAACAGATTTAGCATCATATTTTCCAAGCCTCAACAGCCCATTCATCAACACGTTATAAGCAACAACATCAAACATTATACCTTTCTGTCTCATTTCTTCAGCAATCTCTAGAGCACCTGATTCATTTCCGGCCTTGAAGAAGCAATCCATCAAGGATGTGTAGTTAATGTGATCAATCAATAATCCATTAGAAGTCATCTTCTTAAGTAAGCATTCAGCTTCCTCTATCTTTCTCCCTCTTTTGGAGCCATTTACTAAAGCATCCAGTACGAAATTGTTCTGTTCTAATCCACTCAATTTAGCTTCCTCATAAAAGTCAAAAGCAACTTCATGTTTACCATCCCTGAAGTAACCATGAATTAGTATGGCATAGATATAAGCATTTGGAGCAATATTTTGTTCCAACATTCTCTTCATTGCATGAACAGCTTCACCAAGCATGCCTTTCTTTACATATCCATTTATAATAGAAGCATAAGTTACGATAGTTGGATTGACATGCTTCTCTAGCATATCTTTCAATAAAGATTCTGCACCATCCATGTCTCCTAACTTGCAATGCCCATCAATCAATACTGTATAGGTAATGTTGTTCGGAGTAAGATTAAGCTTTGAAAGTGCGTAGTACATCTCTTCTGCTTCCTCGGGCTTACCAGACTTGAAGAGCCCATCTATGAGAGCAGTGCATACAACCAAGTCGAAGGTAAACCCACGGACGACCATCTGACTTTGGAACATAAATGCTTCCCATTCACTGCCAGCTTTAAACAATGAATCCATGAGATTAGTGTATACCACATGATTGGGATCCACATGCATCTCCTCCATCTCCTTCAAAATCTCTTTTGCTTCAGACGTTCTTCCACCCTTGCAAAGACCATTTAGGATGGAAGAATAGGTAACCAGATCAGGCAAGAAACCATTTACAACCATTTCCTTATATAATGCCAATGCTTCTTCAAGCCCATACTGCTTACAGTAAGCACTTATCAGCGTAGTGTATGTAATACAGTTTGGTTCCAATACAACACTTTCTTCCTCGCCATTCTTATCGGGCATTGATGCACAACCGACACGAGTATCTCTCCTTGACTGTAAGATTTCAGCGACTAAATCCCTTGCTTTCTCAAAATCACCTTGTTGGCAAAACCCACTGATCAATGTATTGTATGTAACAATGTCGGGCAACATACCATCTCTTTCCATCTCTTCTGTCAGCTGAAGAGCATAACTACAATCTCCAACTTTGCAATACCCGTCAATCAATATATTAAAACCTGCGACATCTTTACAAAGCCCTCCGTCAAACAAATTATACATAACCCATTCCCCATACTTGATCATCCCTATCGAGCAAAACCCTTTAATCATTGTATTGCAAGTAAAAGAATCAAAATCTACATCCTTCTTTAACATAACGGACAAAAGACCAAAAGCCTGATGCACTAGACCATGCTTGCAGAACCCCCAGATCACGGTGTTATACGTAACAGTGTCGGTCTCAATATCAACCTTCCTAAGCATCTCTAAAGCCGAACTCAAACTACCCATTTTACACCAGGCATGGGTCAGTATATTGCGAATGAAGAGATCGGGGGAAACCCCACAGGACAACATGTCGTCATAAACAACCTGTACCTGAGAGACCAACCCAGAGGCATTGAACTGGTAAATTAGCTGTTTCCACTGGGGCAAAACAGGAATCATACCTCGACTTCTCATGCCGTAGAAAGCCTCGGAAGCTCTGGACAATCTGCCGCAGGACAAGTAGAGGTGAATGAGAGTGCAGAAGAACGAGACGTAGAGATTGCTCCTTGAACACTGACCGTAGCTCGTCGCTACCGCCCTCGCCATAGCTGGTAATTTTTTACCAACTTCGCCAACGAGCTTTTCCTTGGTAGTGACAATTGAGCGAAGAAAGAAGTTGGCGGAGTAGGGTTGGAGACTTGTGAGCTTCCTGGAAGCCAGTAATCGGAACCCCATTATTTTCCTCCCTTCTCAGCAACCTTGTAAGAGCTGAACTCCAACCGGAGAAATGGTAGCGTTAAGAATTAGGAGTGGTCGGCCGGGCTGCATTTCCTGCTACTGGCTCCTTTACTCCCTAATATTGGGCTTCTTTTTTCCTGGATTCTCATTTCTTAGCTAGGGTTTAAAAATTTTAAAAAATTGCGGGGGGCAGGTCAGGATGTAAGCCGGAGTAGTTGTCATTTTTTTGGGTATTACGGCCTGAATTGCTATTCGTCGCCCTAAAATTCAAATTTTATCGCCCTAAAATGCAATAAATTGACATATTTACCCCTCTATCCAATTTCAATTCTAAACCCTAACCAAACAATCTCTTTCTCCCTTCTTCACCCCCAACCCACATATCGTCCACGAGAAGAGGCAGAATATGTTGTTTGTTTAGGGTCTGGTGGTGAGAAATAAACCGCAATTGACCTCCAATGCTTGTAGACGGTTTTGCAATCTCGACTAGGATATCGTCTCCGATTTTGCTGATCATGGAAGGAGGAGGGTTTGCTTCTAATTGGCTTCGACGACTTTGTTTCCAACTTGTTGCCATGGCGGTGGAAAAGCAAGTATTACAGCGATTGTAGGTGGCTTGGGATTATAGTTAATTAAGAGACAAAATCCCTCCCTTCTCTATATTGATTGTTGTGAGCATACCTTCCCTCTGGCATCGGCTTTTTCGGATCCACATCCCCACTTTTCACTTAGCACAAATCTCCCCGCCGATGATCCGTCCTCTACCAATTCTGTCTGTTCCATTCATTCCAGCATCAGATTCCTTGGAGGCGAAACCCAAATAAATGAACAAAGGACATTTAAGTAAATTTAATTGAATTAGGGCGACGAATAAGAAATTTTAGGGCGACCAATAGCAATGCCCATTACGGCGGGGGCCATCGCGGTCGGTAGTATAAGTGCTTTATGAACTCGATTGTTAACCCCAAATGCCCATTTCTGAAAAACATAATATAAGGAAGTGAGTCAGTCGGAGCAGGGAGACCTGTATCACATTATCAGCATTATGTGGAAATCGGTACGGTATCGGTATACCAATACCAAATATCGAAATCTCAAATACCTAATTACCCGTTAAAGTCAATCTCAATCCCTAAATAATTTTGGTATCCCAATCTCAATCCCTAAATATTTCGATATCCCAATCGGTACTTCGATATCCCAATCAGTATTATCGAACACGAAATTAATTACCTTTGTAATTAATAATTAAATATATAAATGAGATTTTATTGTTTAATTTAGGGGAAAAGGACTAAGCAAAGAGTTTTGAATTAGTATATTATTTAGGAGAATGGAAGAGAGGAGACATCTCAAGTTCTTGTCATTGGTAATCTTTAATTTGACGAATTGGACGTTGAGAGACGACTATTAATAGTGATGGAATGATCTGTGTATAATTAGATTACACTCTTTGTGGTTGAGGGTCATGTAGTAGTGAATGAGAGAGTTTAGTTGAGAGGATAAAATACACACTAGCTTATATTTCGGTATTGATCGGTATTTTGGTATATACAGATCCCAATCCCGTAATCCCTAGTACCGACTAACAATTGAACTTCCATCCCAATCCCAATCACAATCCCAAGAAATAATACATGTATTCGGTAATACCAAATATAGACAAATTCGGTACGGTATTCGGTATATACCAAATACCGGTACCAAACTTCCAGCTCTAATCAGCATCGTACTTCTTTGGCTAGGTTAGGGCTCCTCACTTGTATGGTTGTGTCCTCTATTTTTTTAATATTAGAGTAGTGGGTGGGTACATTGAGATGTGATTAATGACTGATATAGGTACTAGTCACGAACTCGGCCAGTTGACCGAATTTAGTTGTCAATCACGCTAATAACAGTAACAATTTGTATTCAAGTTATGTATTGTGCATTTTCAATTGAAGTATAAAAAAAAACCTAAGCGCTCCGAAAAAACTGGAATCCTAGGGAAAGCGTCGTCTTACGTCGATTGCTATGTCTGTTGTGCTTCTGGGGAACGGCCTCCCAACGATCCTAGGGGGATCGTACTTCATGTGTGTCGCCCGGCCTTTGTTACGTCATCGCTGACGGGGAAGGGTGATAAGGAAACTCAACAGGAAAAGAAAAGGGCTAAGCCGATGTTGGCGAACCCTCTGTTCGAACATGTTGCTATGGAGATCATCAAAAGCCTCGACTCCGAGGCTAATAACCCTAAAATCATCAAATTACCAAATACATTACTTTATTTTTATTTAATGGATTAATAGGCATACAAACCCCTATACTATAGAAAGATAACAAATGAGCCCATGTAGTGTAACACCCAGAGTTTGGGTTCAAGAAAACATTGAAGGAGGAACATGCTAGAACACGACCCGAAACACGATCGTGTTGCTAGACCCTGTTCAGGTAGGTGTGTCATTTTGATGCAGTAGGAAATGAATCAGCAGAGGATTGAACACGGTCGGTGAACACGCCCATGTCTCTAGACCGTGTTCAATTAAATGTTTTTAAAGAGCGGGGCAATGATGGATGCATTGTTACAAAGAGAACCGAAGACGAAGCGTAACACGACATGGACACGTTCGTGTTGCAAGGCCGTGTCACTTGGGTTTCGTAAAACATCGACGGACGATCAGAACGGGGCGCAAGGGATGGAGAGAACACAGGGAGGAAACACGGTCATGTCCCGTGCCCGTGTTCAACCTGCTATAAAAGAAATTAACTTTCTACTCTCTCTCCATTTACGTTTTTCCATCTCCCAAAGCCACCAAAATGCTCTGAACGAGTAGAATACGAAGGAAAGAGAGGAGAAGAGCAAGGAAGAAGGAGGAGGAAGAAACCACTGGATTATTCCCCCGTTCGCCGGCAAGGAGATACCGACGAAAATCTCTCCTACTCACTCCTCTCAACTTGTAACCTGTCATACGCCGTAATAGGGTAAGGAAATTCTTCCCTAGTCGTTCCTACGTTCATTTAATCACTAGTAGTAACTTTGCGTCGTTAAATATTGAAGTTGGAGGCGATTAGGGATCTTGTTAGAGAGTTGGATGAGTTGAGTCAAGGAGACCTCATTCAAACCGGGTCATTGGGTATCTAGGCACGTCCCTGAGTTTCGTATGAGCTTTCTTGTATTTTTCAAATCCGGGGTTTTAGTGACGGATTTTCTGGGTTTCCGTGCGAACAGTGGTGGTCGCTAAAACATCAGGAATTTCCAGAATAGTATTTTAAGTGATTTTTCTTAATTCGGCACCCTTGTAGGCCCGGTAAAATTTGTGTAATAATTTTAGAAAATTGGAAGAAGGTCTATAGATGTCTAGGAATTTATTTGGAAATTTATAAAAAGCTAATTATTATTTTTAATAATTATTTAGGTGCGTATATTATTTAATTAAAATTATATATGGCGTTTTCGCAAAATTATATAATTTTTCTAGGGAACTACTAGGAAAAATTATGAATTGGAACTTTGAAGAGGTATGACTAAGTTTAAGAATTAATGGAAGGTGAAATTATATAGGAAAGAGGGATTTTTCTGGGGGGGTTAAACTGGTGAGTTGACCGTCTAATAGTGTGGTATGATCTATTGGGTATCGAGATAGTACTTTGAAGAAGGATTTCTTCTGGCTAAGGGTTGGAGAATCATCTTTTCGTGGTGATTGTAAAGGGGGTAAAATTTTTGTCGAGGTCTTTTAGTTTATGTTTTTGTTTCAAGTTAATGTTAGTTCATTTTCATGAGTTGCGCAATTATGTGTGTGAGGCATCCCACCTCCTTCTCAAAGTGGAGGCACGTGTTGTGCTATATATGTGAATGTATGTTGTAATGTATGGTTATTGGTAATTGGACCCCGGGAGGTTGGGCCACTACTGGACGTGATAGATGGTCGGATCACTGCTTGACGGCGAAACATAACGCAACAGTTGATCGAGGATATTGGGTCTCTACTGGACGGTCATACGTAACGCAGTGTTGACCGGCCATTGACTAGATGGCGATATGTAACGCAGTACCATTGCCTTGAGAATAGGGACACCGGACGACGATACGTAATGCATTGGACCCTAGTAAAAAGTAAATAAGTAAGTAGATAAGTTAAAATAGAAGTAGAGAACTTTTACAAGCCATTAAGGACTAAAGAATTAAGGATGAAAGCGAGAACGACTTTCATGTAAGAGAAAGTAATTTCTAATAACATTGTCAGTTTATTTATAAGAGAAAGTAGCAAGGCGTGACGAGCAGCCGTATCAACATTGAGGAGAACTGAAGGAGCTCGTGAGAAGTCAGAGCGAGAATAATTTAATTATTTTGTTGCATGGTTAGGAGTATAAACTGGAGATTCTAGGTAAAGTTGCTTTTAAGTATTTGGATAGTGATTGCCCAAGTGTTAGGGCTTTTCGTTTGAAATTTTTAAACACTGTCAGTTTATTTATTTCAAAAGTGGTTTAGTTTGTTTCAAAATAACCAGTTCTTGGTTTAAATTATGGTTTGATTTTTTTTTAAAATATCGAGTTTTTTCATGTAGTATATTTTCAATGAAAGAAGCCCTTATATTATACTTGTATAACAAATGAGCCCCTCCAATCTCCATCAATTTTTCAGTTAACTTACTTGCCGTGTGGCAAAATCACACCGAGTCACCAAAACCGTGATCCTAAAATGTCTTTTTTACCCTTATCAGTAGTCCCTTTAATTTTCATATCTCCAACCCCAACCCGTGGGAATATGATATGTACGGAATAGTAATAAAAAAACAAAAATATCTTTCTACCCATCTGCATCGTGCTCTTGCTATGAAAAGGGAGAAGAAATGTGAAAGATGAATTCTTTTGGTTCCTTAATTAATTATTAGAAAAAATCTAGAAGCAATAACAATAATATACTGTAGAAACATAGGTTTCTTAACTCATACATAAATAAAACAAAATCCATAACCATTGTAAGCGGATGAACTCTTAAATAATATATGCAAGTACTCTAGAGCTCTGTAGGCGTGGTGGTGGAGCTTTCTTGTGTTCCTCTGTGTCCCTTATTCAAGGTCACAGATTGGTCATGCCTTTGTAGTACGTCAGCCGCCTCTGAGTTGACATTCAAAGCGGCAAGTTAAGAGTGATAAACATTAACATTAGTTACTAGGTACCTTACATCATAAGTGTAAACACCATAACCTATGAATTTTCTCT